TTCCCAGTCGTTCTGCTGTTAGGGTCAGTTTGCATATTATCCTTTTATTATATAGGATAGAGGCCTGGTGCATGGGTGGGGGCCAGCTGGTTTGCCCTGAAGGGTGTCCCGGATCAGGGTGGGGGCCCTACTGGGGTGCCTGGCCAGCCTAGGTGAGGCGCAGATGACTGTTTGCAGGCTGGCCAAGTCCCTCAGTGGGGACCCTCACCCCATGAGCGTGTGGCAGCCTGGGTAAGGGGCCCAGGGCCTTTTTCAGGCTGGCCAAAGCTCCTTCAGGGTGGAGGTCCCCACTGGGGTACCTGGCCAACCTGGGTGAGGGGCTGATGGCTGTTTGCATGCTGGCCACAGCACCTTCAGGGTGGGGGTCCCCACTGGGATGCCTGGACAGCCTGGGTGAGGGGCTGAGGGCCGTTTTCAGCCTGGACACATCCCCTTGCAGTCTGGCCACGGCCCCTTCAGGGTGGGTTCCCCGCTGGGGTGCCTGGCCAGCCTGGGTGAGGGGCTGATGGCCATTTTCAGGCTGGACAAGCCCCCCAGCAGGGACCCTCACCCCATGAGGGTGTGGCCATCTTAGGTGAGGGGATGATGGCTGATTGCAGGCTGGCTACGGCCCCCAAGCCCTTCCGCATCTCCCCATTGTGGTCAGTGCATGTAACAGTGAGCGATCGAACTCCCGGTCTCCTGGTCGAACTCTCAAGGGGACGATTTGCATATTAGGCTTTAATATACATAGATTAATTGAGCATAATGTGTTGGGTTGATTTATGGGGTCTCTATTCTGTTCCATTGATCTATATGTCTGTTCTTATGCCAATACCAGGATGTTTTGATTACAGTGGCTTTGTAGTATAACTTGATATCTGGTATTATGATCCCTCCAACTTCGTTCTTCTTTCTCAGGATTGCTGCAGCTATTCAGGGTCCATTTTTAGATCCATATAAATTTTTGGAGAGTTTGTTCTGGATATGTGAAGTATACTTTTGGTAATTTAATAGGGATTGCTTTGAATCTACAGACTGGGTATTATGGATAGTTCATGTAAATTCTATCAATCAATGAACACGATATATTCTTCCCCTTGTTTATATCTTCCTCTATTTCTTTTTTCAGTGTCCTATAGTTTTCTGAGTACTAGTCTTTTACCTCCTTGGTTAAGCTTATTTCTAAATATTTCATAATTTTTGTTGCTATGATAAATGGGACTATTTAGTTTCGCTTTCTGAGAATTCATTATTGGTATATAAAAATGCCATCAATTTCTGGGTGTTAATTTTGTATTCTGCTACATTGCTGAGTTCCTTCATTAAATCTAGTAGTTCTTTGGTGGAGTCTTTAAGCTTTTTTATGTATAATATCATGTCATCTGAGAAAAGTGATATTTTTACTTCCTCCTTTCAGTTTGAAAGCCATTTATTTGTTGTTCTTGTCTTATGGCTGTGGCTAGGACTTCTAGTACTGCATTGAATGAGAGTGGTGAAAGTGGACATCATGGTCTTATTCCTGTTCCTAATTTTTTCCTATTGAGTATTATGTTGGCTGTATTTCCACTTTGTTGAGAGTTTTTATCAAAAATGGGTGTTGAGTTTTGTCAAATGCTTTTTCTGCATTGATATGGTCATGTCGTTTCTGTCTTTCAATTTGTTAATGTGCTATATCATGTTTATTGACTTGTGAATATTGTACCAGCCTTGCATCCCTAAAATAAATCCCCCTTGGATATGGTGTGTGATTTTTTTAATGTATTGCTCGATCCAATTTGCTAATATTTTGTTGAATATTTTAGCATAGTGATTATTCAGAGGTACATATTTATTACCATTTTATATTTTGTAAATATATTTATTTTCTTCTTTTCCTCCACCTCCTCCTTCTTTTTCTTCAAGAAGGACTTTTAATATTTCTTGTAATACTTGTTCAGTGGTAATGAACTCTTTTAACTTTTTAAATTCTGGAACCTAGTGGCAAACTCTCCTTGATCATCTCAACTAAATGCTTCTGAAATATATTTTGTGTCAGTTATGTAAGCCCTTCCTTTGTAACTGAGTCTTGATTTTTATTGGTTTATTTGGGTGCAGGGTCAACCCTTACAAGTGATAACTGAGATCCTGGAGGTATATATGGAAAGGGTGGTATCAACTCATGCAAAGCTCCCCAACAAAAAGTCCCTCCTTTATACATTTCTCATTATAAGACTTCTATTCAGCAAGTACTTAATGAGGTATTTGGGTTGATGGGTTTATATTTTACTTCTAATTCCAATTTGGTCCTGTGGAAACGGGACTATTACATCTACCTACTTTGGCAACATCTTGAACCTAAAACTACTTTGTGTTAATTGAATTTTTAAAGTTCACATGTTAGAATGGATGCTAAATGAGCTAACTCCCATCAATAGAAAAATAATAAATAAAAATAGTGTGCACTCTTTGTATTGAGTCCTTGAAAGCAATTAAAACTATGACAGATTCGTTTTCTGGAACAAACATATAAAAAATATCAAAATTTTTTAAAATTATCAAACAAAGTATGAGCACCCTTTTATTTTAGAAAAATAACTTAAATATCTTTTAAGATAAGAATATAAAGAATTAGGTTCATAAAGTAAATGCATTGGGATAAGATTGGAATATTATGTCCCAAACTACAAATAGTAACTTACTTTGTGGAGGCAAATTCAATTGTATGTTAACAAAGAGATATTTAGCTTATTGTTTGATTTTTTGTAAGAATGTATTTATATATTAATTTTAGATTAAATCATAAATACAGAATTAAAATAAATGTTGATATTAGAAACTGTATTACATGATTAATTTAGTTTTTATTATACTTAATAGAATTTTAAAAATTAGACATTCATCTAATAATGGCATTTCAAATATTTTTCACACCTCTATCACTGACAAATATTAATCTTGAGTGTTACTTCATTCTAACAGGTGTCTGTATACCATGTTTAGTAACTGCAGATCGTTGAAAAGGCTTGAGATACTTAGAAAAGCGACTCGAATTAGCACCAGAAGAAAAAGGATGTTGATGGAGAGGGAGATTATTCGCTCAATTCATGGTGCTTACATACAATGCAAGGCTTTCAACTATATGTCAGTCGTCCAGGCCTTTCTTAGTTCCATGCCACAATTAACATTACAACTATATGTCTCTCTCACTGTAAGAGAATGGCCTTTGGAAAGAGGTAAGTTTGGGTGTTTTAAGCTAAAATACCATCCTAAAAGGGAAGGTAGGGCATAGTGAAGTTTTAAAAAGACATTAAATATTTATTTCTAAATCATGATTGTATTAAATTTTGTAAAGTTGATTTTCTGTGAATATTTTCAGAAACAAAATTATAAATAGATACATCTAAAATCTAGAGAAAATTGATATGAATAAATCGGCATCCATTTTATTAAGGAATATAATATCTAAGATTATATGGGAAAGGGGACTGTTACATTTAGTGGGAAAATAACTTTGTACCTGAAACTTATTACAGAATTATTTAAAAAATATAACATGTCTTCTTCTAACAAAAGTAAAAACTGCAAAGAATTAAACATTTGGAAAGGATACACATTTATAAAACTTTCCAAAATTCTCCAGGAATATGACTGTGTTTTGATTATAGTAGTTGTTACATTAATCTGCATGCTGATGGGATGGAATACACCTATACAAGCTGATTGGCCTGTGTAAATTTCACATTAATGATATTCTACGTACTATAATTATATAAGATGCAACAACTGGAGGAACTGTGTAAAGTGTACAAGTGTCTAGTCTCTACTATGATTATTGAAAAATAGAAAAGTTTCTTTTTGTTTTTTTAAATTAAATGCATTGGGGTGACATTAGTTAATAAGTATGTTTAGGTTTCAGCTGTACATTCTTACGATATGTGACCTGTATAGTGCCTTGTGTGTATACCCTACTTTACCCTTTCATAACTCCTACCCATCTTCACTTTGGTCACCACCACACTGTGGTCTCTGTCTATCAGTTTTGTTTTGTTAGTTTTTTTTGATTCAATTTTATATTCCACATATAAATGAAATCATATAGTTATTTACTTTATTTGTATGGCTTGTTTAGCATGATATTCTCAAGGTCCATTAAAAAAACCTAGGCACCAAATTTATGAACCTAAATCTTAGAGAAGATTATATTAATTTTCCCCCAAAGGCAAGGGAAGTAATGGCAAAAATAAATGAATAAGACTGTGTAAAATTAAACTTTTGCACAAGAAAGGAAACTTCAAATTAAACAAAAACGCAGTAAACTGAATGAAATAAGATATTTGCAAACAACAGCTCCAAGAAGGGTTTACAATTAAAAAGTATATAAAGATTCATAAAACTCAACACCAATTAACAATCCAATTTTAAAATAGTCAGAAGACCTAAACAGACACTTCTTTCAAGATGACATACAGATAGCCAACACATATATCAAAATATGCTTAACTTCACTAGATGTTAAAGAAATGCAAGTCAAACTACAATGAGATAACACTTCAAACCAGTTAGGATGTCTAGATTTTATTTTTTTTAATTGTGAGGGATGTATATCAGTATATTTCAGCAGCAGCTAGATGAAAAGGAAGAACAAGTGAACATGAGAGTGACTGGGTAAAGGGGTAGATGTCTCCTTTTTCTCCTTCCCACTCCCAGCCCTCCCCAAGCTTTCACTGCAATATTATCTGTGTTCATGCATATAACAAAACTTGAATAAAACATAATTAATGATAAATGTAAAATTATAATCCGTTACTACAAAAATATCATTTGACATTATCAGATGTCATTTACAAATACATGTAAATATATAGGATATTTATATTTATAAATCAAAATATTAACTAATTATTCTTTTGGAACAAGAAATGATTATTTAATATTTATTTGGGCAACAAAGTCAGAAGAAACAGTTTTAAAACTTGTAATAAAAGTGAGATTATAAATTTATTATAATAATACCTATCATATATAAAACCCATCTTTAGACTGAAAAATGTTTCTCAGAAAAATAGGTATTAAGTGGACATAAAAACTGAAATTAAAAGGAATTCTGGAAAACTGACTCAAAGATGGCAGCCAACAGTACAGCAGTGAGGGAGAGAGTGTGAGTGAGTGGGGAAGTGAAAGGTGAGTATATAGATGTGTGTGGTATGTGTGAGTGAGTGAAGGACAGTTATATTCTGCAGGAGTCTCAGGGGGCTGGCCAACTGGGCTTTCCTGGACTAAGAGTGCCTGCTACTGATGCAAGCACTCCTGAGCAGCCATCTCTGGCACAGAAACCATGCCATCTTGAAGAGGAGAGCTGTGTGACCAGATCCCAGCCTCACCACCACCCAGACTGGCCTCAGACACCATCCTGGATGCTGCATCCACTCTGATCAAAGACATGTTACTTCATTTGCAGATTTGCAGACTCTGGGACTCCTGTGAGTTCAGAAGTATGTGCCTCTCTGGCCAAGCCCATAGCTTCAGCTGCAGACTCCTTGACTTCTGCCTCCCAGACACCAGCTCCTAGATCCCTTTGGTGAGATGATGAGTGTGCACCTCTCTGACCAAGACATGCTGATTCAGCTGCAGATCCCATGACCTTTACATACCCAGCCACTGGCTCACAGACCCCCTCGTAATTCACAGAGTGAAACCAACCAGGCCAGAGTCCCCTTGACTCACCGGTAGACTCCAGGATGCCTACCTCCCTGGACACGGGTTCTGGGATCTCCACAGGGATTCACAGAGTGATACCATTTAGGTAACAGTCACACCACACTGGCCAGAGTCACACTATCTCAGCTGTGGCCCCAGGATCCCCACCACCCTGTTGTGGGCCCCACGGTGAGCCACATGCCAGTGAGATCCCAGGCAACCCCTGACACAAGAGCTGGAACAACAGTCACATCCACAACCGCTTGCACGACAAGGTCGGGGGTGAGTCACACTGATAAACATCCTGTGAGGAGACTACATTCACAAATGAGAAACTAACATTTAAGACCCAACTATATCAGGAGAACCAAAATAATTCAAGTAGGGGGCTCCATTAGAACACCCAGCTCAGGAGATCTGAGAGACAACACCACTGGGTCACACTATCATCAAATACATAAAATCACCCCCCAACCCCACAAAGAAAGCAAAACAAAGAAACAAAAAAACTGGGTGGAATAGCAGTTGGATCTAAGACAGAAACAATTACAACAGGACAGCAAAAATCGGAGACAAAGAAACAATCTGCAAAGGAAAGCAAAGGAATAGCCAAAAAAGGAACTAAATGAAATGGAGGCAAGTGATTTATCAGAGAAAGAATTCAGATTAATGGTTACAAGCATGCTCAAACATCTGGATGACACACACAACTCAATGAGAAACAAAATGAGCTGAATGAGAATTTCACTATGAGTAAGAATCAAGAGGATATGAAGAATGGCAAAGATGCAATAAAGAACAAAATGGAAAGTTTCAACAGTACACCAGAAGAAGCTGAGGACCGAATCAGTGAGTTAGCAGACAAAGTAGAAAAAAGCACCCAAGCAGAGCAGCACTGAAAAAAAATATTTTTTAAAAATAGGAGGAGAGTTTAAGGGAGCTTTGGGACAAATGAAAATGAAACAACATCTGCATAATAGGGATGCCAGAAGGAAGGAATTTGAGCAAGGAATAGAAAACCTGTTTGAAGAAATAATGACAGAAAACTTCCCAGATGGTTTTTGGGGGGGGGGGGGAAGTCACACAAATCCAAGAAGCTCAAAAAGTCCCAAGCAATATGAACCCAAAAATACCCACACCAAGATACATCATAATTACATTAGAAAACATCAATGACAAAGTAAAAATCTAAAGGTTGCAAGAGGAATACAGAATGATACCTATAAGGGTTCTCCCATTCTACTATTAACTGATTTCTCAACAGAAACATGTCTGGCCAGAAGGGAATGGAATGAAATATACAAAGTGATGCAAAAGAAGGGACTAAATACAAGATGACTCTGTCCAGCAAGACTATCATTCAAAATTGAAGGAGAAATCAGGAGCTTCACAGACAAAAAAAAAGTTTAAGGGAGTTTGTTACCAACAAGCTATCATTACAAGAAACGCTAAAGGGACAGTTGTAAAAAGAAGAAATAGAAAGGGAAGAAGGAACACAGGCATAAAGAATAAAAATTGCTACAAAAAAGCAGTTATCAATGTAACCTTAAACTAAAATGGATTAAATGCTCCAATCAAAACACATAGGTTGGCTGAATGGATAAGAAAACATGACAATATATATGCTGTCTACAAGAGATGCACCTCAGAACAAGGGACTCACACCAACTGAAAGTAAAGGGATGGAAAAAAATTCTTCAGGAAAATGGAAATGAAAAAAAAAAAACAACCAACAAAAACCTGGGGTAGAAATACTTATATCTGACAAAATAGACCTCAAAGTGAAGGCCATAATAAGAGATAAGAAGACCATTTCATAATACTAAAAGGATCATTTCAACAAGAGGATATAACTCTGATAAACATCTATGCACCCAATACAGGAGCATCCAAATACATAAAAATACTTCTGGAAGGTATGTAGGGAGAGATGGACAGCAACACAATCATAGTAGGGGACTTTAATACTCCATTGACGCCACTGAATCCCCAGGACAAAAAATTCAGCAAAGAAACAGAAATCCTAAATAACTCAGTAGATCAGATGGAAGTAATTGAAATCTTCAGAATATTTCACCTCAAAACTACAGAACACACATTCTGCTTAAGTGCACACGGGACATTTTCAAATATAGACCACATGTTAGGACACAGGCTAAATCTTTACAAATTCAAGAAGACCGAAATCATACTAAACTTCTTCTCAGATCACAATGGCATAAAATTAGAAATAAACTAAAAACAATTGTAAACAATCAAACATATAGAGACTAAATAGCATACTATTAAACAACAAATGGGTTACCAAAGAGATCAAAGAAGAAATAAAAAAGCATCCTGGAAACAAATGACAATGAAAACACAACAATCTAAAATCTATGGAACAGGGGAACCAAGATGGCGGCGTAAGGTACAGACCTGTGCATGCTGCCTTCCACAACAACATCAAGACTACCAACTATAAGACAAACAGCTATCATTCAGAACCATGGGAAAGCTGGCCCAGTGGAAGCTCTACAACTGGAAGGAAAGAAAG